TTTTTATAGTCTTCGATGTACTTTCTTCATTTAAATGTTTGGTAGTATAGCGCAAGGCATTTAGTAACGGTTCAGCTCTGTGTGCGGGCTGTGACTGCAATAGTCTAATACATCCCTTTACATCAACATATGAATTTCTCGTAAAGGCACCTTGTGGGTGAACATGGTCATACAAAATAACCAAACCAACCATAACTCTCAAAACTAATAAATGAGTTTCTTCTCTTTCGAATTGTGCAACAAGTTTTCTGAAATAAAATAGAGAATGAATTATCTGAATATATGAAATGCTAATGCATAATTAACAACATTGCATGAGTCAAAAATATTCTGAATCACACGCTAGAAATTAGTAAACAAATAAATAAGAGTGAGTCATAGTAGATTTGGTACAAAGAAAAATATGGAACAAACTCAACTTTATAAAATAAAATATTTAAATTTGTTTTATAGAAAAAATGTCTTGAAATTACTTAATACAGTTACAAATATATGAATAACATATATATAAATACAAAACAATAAAACTTGATATATGAATAACATTACCATTTTACCATTTCATATGCACTTACGGATTTTCCAGCATACGCAAGCAAACTTTAGCCATTGTGCCTAAAGTTTCTGTAGTATTCTCTATATCAGATTCGTGTTCAGCCACAAATTTAGAGACTGATTCACTCAAGACCTTCAACATTGGTGTGGCATGAGCATAAAATAAAGACATTTTATTAGCCAATTCAACTGATACTAATAATTCTGGGGCTTCAGAATCAGTAGTATTTCTTTGGCGAGATACTACTCGTCTATAGTAGCTGAAATCGTTTTGAATTGCTGGTGTTTTCATCTAAAAATTAAAAAATAATTAGACAATAATCACATGCAAGTGTATTATAATATTACATATATTGTAAATTGTAATAGTAGACAAAAGCATATAATATCAATTATTACCTTGTATTCATCAAATTTCAAAACAAATTCCAAAATCTCTGCAAGTTGTTTTACTAAAGCTTGTTGAGTCTCTAAATGCTGAGTAGGACTCCATTCACCACCAACTAACTTTTCTAGTAAATGTGGTACAGCTTTTTCTAATTCTACAGAATGTTCATAACAATACCGAAGTTTTTCGACTAGAGGTAATATTGTTTTCCAAGCTCTTTCCAAACATTCAGGATTTGGATCTGAAATAGCCTCTCTGACTTCTTTCCCGGCACCCTGAAAATAGATTTATATAATAACTGTTTAGGTGTATATTTATAGTAAGGTTGTACATACTTTATAAGACTGGATTTCTTCTAAAATTCTATCAGATGCTCTGAGAACTCTCTGAACTTCATTATAGACCTCCCGTTCAGTTTCTGTTGGGACAGCATTTTCAAAATCCAAGAACACATCATACCTTTGAGATGTGAAACAATTTGCATCATCTCTTGCTAGAATACTCAACAATTTACCCATTTTAGCACAATGAATTAAATAGACATGTAAAATTAAATAAATTGAAGGTTGGAATATTGATGCCTTGTATCATAAAAGCTTTTTATTGAATATCTTCTGTGATATCTGTTTGCCCTCAAACACACCCATGTTATATCAATTTATCTTTTTGATGACAATCATCATATTAGTCACTGTTATTGGTCAATTTGATTAATCTAGACGCACATTCACTTCCTGCTTAAAACACGACATTCCATTATGTGGAATGTTAGAAATTTGTTTATATTCTTATGAAGAAAAATAAATAAATAATCTAAACTGCAACAAATTTGCGAATTTGTGGTTGAAAAGTAACTAGAAGGCAATGACAGCAAGAAACGAAAATATTAAATATTCTTTGTCATTTTGGCAATACCGTTTTCAACTAATAGATGGCGGAACATATTTGATTAACTTCACGTAGTACAAGTTCGTTTTTGATAGAAATTCAAAAGTTTGCTAATTTTGTTTCCTCGATGTTTGAAGTCATTCTGAATTGTTTGACATCAAAATTGAACTAGTTGTAAGTAGCTTTTTGCCTCAAGGTAAGTTGCATAAACTTTCCTAAAGGTATACATAATAAACTTAACTAAATTAATAAAATTGATAAAAGAATTGAGAAAATTGATATTCATCTATTTAAAATTTTCGATTTCACTAAAAAACTAGTGGTATATGGCATCGTGCTTTAAGGCAAATTGCTGGAACTTCCCGTACCGTAACGAAATGTTCGAGGAATATTGAATGTTTTCAAATAGATTATTATAAATATTGTAACATTGCCTAATATTTATAAGAATTATATAAACTGAAAAATTATTTATCTGAAGTATATAAGTTAGCTTTAGAACTTTAGCCAGAATTAAAATTAAAAACTGAATAATTTTCGATATACAAAAAAAAAAAGAATTGAAATAATTTTCTTTTCCGAAGTAATTGTTTTGTCAACACAAGCGAAGTTTTTTGAATCATTTAAATCGGTTGCTTAGTTCTCTCAAAAACTGCCATTTTTTATATATTTAGCTCTATATTTCCGAAATGGCTGGACCTGCCTTTGCTAAAAAATAATCATCACTTATCCCAATCATTACAAATTGGTCATTTTCTGAATCATTCAAATAGGATCCTCCGTTCTCACAAAAATTCGATTTCTATTTTCTGCGCTCTTTGCTCCGTAACTCCAAAACGGCTGGACCGTCTTTTGCTAAAAACTAATCAGCATATCTCACTATCAATAGGAATCTAATGTTTTTTGGACCATTAAAATCGGTTAATCCGTGCGCCCGAAAAAGTGGACGAAAAATTGCGAACACACAAAACACACACATCCATTATTCTGAGGTATGCCAAAATGTTCAGAAACCTCTGGAACGTGAAGATATGCAAAAATTTTTATTCTCGATTTCCGGCCTATTACTTTAACTTACCATACCAGAAGTTAAAATAAGTTTTTGTGTATGTGAGCCAAAATTCAACCTTATATCGATGATGATTCAAAATTCGAACTCGAATTTCAAAAATTCAATCCAATTTATGGAATCTAGTACATTTTGCATTATTAATTATATTTGAGTGATATTCTAATATTGTCTAGGGATATTACTTTATAATATAGATAGAATTCATGGTGTAATTAAACTATTGATTCTCAAGCTTTTTTGTTTTTTACCCCTTGTCTTTGCCACGGACCCTCCTATTCATAATGATTTTTTAAAATAATCTTTTAACTAAAATTAACTATTAAACAATTAATGTAAAAATACAAATCTTGAATTTTTATTAAGAGAAAATCTTGCAAATTGTTATGGGTTCCTGGGGGATACGGCATTTTGTTTGCTGGAAGGTCCAAGGCATTTTGTTTCTAATATTGCTTATGACCAAATATTTTATGAATTTTATAATTAGGAAATCAGTGTAAAAGATTTTGCTGAAGGTTTCTCCAAAAATCCTGAATCGACTTTGAAAATTCAAAACGTTGGCAATCTTGCTGATAGGATTTTGGTAAAAATTGGCTGCACCGTTCCTTATGATTTCTAATGATTAATTTTTTTAACATTGTCTAAATAGACGTTCTAAAATATTAAATGCCTGCAAAAATCAATTAAGTTATATAAAGTTTGGTGCGTATATAAATTTTGCTAAATTTGAATTCTTTTGATTAATGGGTCAATTCTGCCTCATTAAAGCAAATAGATAGACATTTTCACAATTTTCACCACCAATAAACAAGCATAAGAGAGCATTGCCATGACAAAGATGTTATGTGGCAGAATTGCCCCATAAGTCATATATAGCCGTGTGTACCCACATGCACATATGCACTTGCCTTAACGCAAAATATCTCGAACTTTTCGTTATCATTGTCGGAAGAATGATTTATATTTACTTGTTTCGTACCTTTTAAATAATAATTAAAATTTTCAAATGTACATCACAACAAAAATAACACAATATTTTCATGTAGCTGATACTCAACTTTTTATTAAATTTTATACTGAAATATATTTTTCGCAATAAATAGGATTTATATTTATAAAATATATCTATTATAATTATATCTAAATATTTATTATTGTATATCAATTTTAAATCTATGAAAATGTTAACACTTATACATTTTGAATGGGAAATAACATCAATGGAGCTACTTTTCATTAACTTTTGTTAGCTATTATTTAAACTTTCAATAAATATCAGAAGATTATCACAAAATAATTTCTGAGTACCTTTTAAAATATTTTCAGTTTTATAATTTTAAGTTAGATATTATTACATCCACAAAATTCATTCGAATAATAAATATATCTTCATATTTTCGTACGATCTACTAAATATATGTAAATAGAACTTAAATAAAAATATTCTTATGTCTTCACAGAAAACAGGATAAGTTACACCATATGCTAGCAAATAAGCTTTAAATACATAGTAAACTTTATTTTTATTTAATAATATATAATATATATATATATATATATATATATCTGTTTATTTTTCATAAATAATATCAATTAAATTAAATTCAATGTACGTTCTTCAATCTACATTATGGCTTAAACATAGTTATATCTTTGTCATATTTTTTCAAATGCACTCGTTGAAAATATTCATCCATTCTTAGTCAGCTTTTCATATACATATATCTACCTTAATTTTTAAAAAATAGATTTGAAGATTTGTAAGTACAGGTATATTATTATAAGAATATATTGGCAAAGATGCATTCCAAAAATAGAACTGTATGACACTTATTTTAACCACATAGAGCATTTGCATAAATGTATAAACTTAATTTTATATTGACATGTTTCAGGTCCTTAAAGTAAGGAAAAAATGAATTCAATTGTTTAATGCTTATTAATAAGTAATATCAAAAATTTAATAAAAATTTATTGATACATTATATGTATAGAATACACATGTATACATAAATATACATATATGGCAATATATACATACATATATATTGGCATACTATAAACTTATCTTTTGTTTGTTCATATAATAAAAATAAAATCAAGTCAATTCGGAGACAATAAATCGTGTTTGATATTTCTACACAAGATAAAACTATTATCGTATCGATTTGTACCTTCAAGTTTATAAAAATAAACATTTATAGAATATGTATTGAATAGCTTATTTAATCTTATTGATTATCATGCTGTGTCTTGATAAAATATGTTGTTAAAGTACCTTTACCTTTTACATAAGTAGGTCCACGACATTCACAATTGTATCCAGCCCTCATGAGCACTTTTGCTGTGGATTCTGTGACCTAATTGAATAATTCAGAAAAACTACATTTATGATAATAAAAACATTAAGAGTCGTGATAAAATATTCATGTTTTGTGATCTTTCGATTTCAAAAACTCAAACAAGATTGAAGACTTTTTTCATGGCATATAACGGTTTGATCGGAATGCTGATAGCAATATTATATTTTGAAGAATAATTTTGTTTATAGTTTCTAAAAGCGTCAGGACTACTATAACAAAATAACAAGGTCCATGTGCGGACAGGTCCACAGCCATTATCTTTAAACAACTGTTGTATTTTTTACTTATACTATTTTAAAGAAGAGGGTATATGATTTGTAATCACATTTCTTATCATAAAGCAGGCTATAAGTATTAAGAACAATTGCTTATTGCATTTTTACCTGCATTCTGCCCATAATGCCACATGAGTCCATTCTAGATGCCACATTGACAGTGTTTCCCCAAATATCGTATTGGGGCTTTTGAGCTCCAACAACTCCTGCAATTACTGGTCCATGGTTCAAACCAACTCTCAGCCGGAACCTTTGAAATGACTCTCTATTGATTTGATCAAGAGCAGCAAACAAAGCACAGGCAAATTCTACCAGCACCACAACAGTTTGCTCTTCAGAACGTTTTAGTTCCTAAAAATAATTAAGTAATATTTTTGAAACATTGATGTAAAATCACAAGCATAAAAGCAAATTGATAAATCGTACCTCAGCACTTTCTTCTTTTCCTGGCCGTAACCCAGAAGCTAGCATATAGGTACTACCAATAGTTTTGATTTTTTCAATACTGCTGAATTTGGGTTTCAGAAGCAACTATTAAAATAAATTTTTTTAGATAAATTGGCGTAAAAATAAATAGCACTTGGTATTACCTTATCAAAATCGCAGATAATTTCATTCAGCAACCTCAGGCATTCTAGACCTTGCTTATTAACATCAGTTTCATCATAAAATTCTTTATAATTTGGAATTGAAGCGAACATGACTGCAACGCAGGCATATCTTTCGTGGTAAAGCTGCTCTTTGAGTTGATGTGCAGGAAGAACAGACACCGGCTGCAGTAATTTTTGCTGCTCGTCTTCATTATTTAGTTTACTGTCGATTGAAGTCTGCCTTATATTTTTGTTCTGATCATTTGAGTTCGCTCGAGAGACATCTCTAGCACTACGAAGAAAATGTTGAGCCACGTGGGCTGGTAATATGTTTTCTAAAAGAATCTGAAACAATAATAACAAAATATATCACAGGTTTGAAGACTATGCCAATAAAGTTAACCATGCAATAGATTGTCATTTCTTAGCACGAATTTTCTTGTAGATTAAGATCTTCCATAGTGATAAGTGATCTTTTGAAAAAACTGATTAAAATAAAGATTTAAAATTTATTTACAAACTTTATCGAATTTTAACATACCTTATTGATACCTCTCATAGTTTCGACTTCATCTTGTTCCACCTTAAGTTTTGCTCTCCACAAGAAATCTGTCCTAGCAGTATATTCACCTTGACGATCCAATGTGTGTAAAATAGATATCAGTACAATGAACATCACCAGAGCCCATAACCAAATTCTGCAAATAGTAAAATTAATATCTCATATTGGATATTAAAATTTTATTGCAAGAAAGGTAAGTGGTAAGATTTTTATACATCATCTGATGTCTTTCTATTACCTTGTGTCATAGAAACCATCGTAATTTTGAGCAAATTCGCTGGTTACTATAACTGCCAATTGACACAATCCAATAATTATCATCACACATAATTTCAGAAGAAAACCAGAGCGCAAGAAAACTGATACAGTTGTCAAAGAGATTGCACAAGCGTGCAGATATGTCTGTGAAGTTGGAAAATATTATATTAAAAATTGCATAAAATTTTCTATTATAATACTCATAACTAAGACTGAATAGAACTATAGTAGCAATGATGATATAATACTTTTTGAACATACCGGTACGTTTTTAAAGTTCTCCATTTCTGTTAGAATCCATTCATTATTTTCAATGTCTGTGGTATTTAGGTTGTTAACAAGCTCTATGGTGTTGTCCTCGAAGTTTATCTGAAACAGTGACATGATGAATTATTGGTAAAACAAAAAACAAGATATGAAGGTTGTACAAAAATTGAGAGTGCATAAGCTGAGATTACATAAAAATTCAAAACATTATAAGGAAGTACACGATGATAACGTTTATTTATATATTTAGCCATAAGTAGTACAAGTTGACTTTCACAATAATTTGAATTTGATACACACAGTTTAAAATAATTGTGTGTGTAGACTCATAAGGTTTATCGCTAAATATTTAAAAAAATGCTTCTCTTTACTGTCACTTGCATTATTGGTAAAAGAGGCGCATTTTGCATCAAATACAATAAAGTTCAACTACGTAAATTTATTAAAGTTCCTAAAAGTAGCTTTGTTTCGGTAACTAGTCAAACCTCTACCTCGTTCGTAAACTCACTCACCAGGCCAATGGCTGCACAACATGCAATAAGTGAGGTCATCAGTCCAAAAACAGCCAATCTCAGGAACCTGCTTGCTGCAACTATATCTGCTGGTCCAGCACATAGAGCAGTAATCGGAGTTGCTGAGTTGCCTCCGTGTTGAAGTTCATCAGATTTTGGACCGTGGGCACTAAGCCACAGTAGAGCACTTAGAGAAACAGCGGTGGCCAACAAGGATCCACAAATCACAATACTAAAGAAGAAATAATTATTACCAAAAAGCTGGTCACACAGGAATAGTCAATGGTGATCATCAAAGTTTGGGATCAACAAAAGTAATGATAATCTAATTTAAGACATAAGTATATGTAAAGTATTATTAATGGGCCGAATAGACCAATGTTATGGCAAGGCCATGTTACGCTCCAACTTTTACACATTATGCTACTGAGTACTGAATCACACTCAATACTGTCACTTAATACTGTCAAAATATCATGTAATTGCTGTGCATTCAGGCGTTTTACACATAAACTGCAACGTCACTTGTATGTTATGAAGCTGGGTCAGAAAGACTCTGCAAAGACATTTGTGGGGTTTCTAGGTAAGGTTTTCTATCTGACAACCTGAAAAAACGCTTGACTAAACAGCAACCACTTGGCTCTTGTCAATAATTAGTATGGAAAGTTCTTCATAACATAGCCTTGCCATAACATTGGTCTAATATGCGGCAGAATCGTCCATAATTCTAACATTTAAATATGATTTTTTTTCTAATTAACCTCTGTTGTGTAAGTAATAATACAGCAGCCATCAGAATAAACAATCCGTATGCACAAGCAACATCCCTCCTGAAAAGATCGTCTCGACGAGTGGCATACATGGATTCCCTTTCGTCAACCCTGTATCTTAATGTGCAGGGCTTAAGCTCTCTGGGTGCTCCACGGCCGCACCAGTCGGAGCCACTGCCTCCACAACAACAGAAACAGCACATGCGAGATGGCTCCAAATTAGATTCGATCATGGCTATGCTCTGGAAACCACCAAAATTTATTGAACATACATTGGAATTATGTTTGATTAAAAAAAAAAACAATGTTGTTGTTAAGGCAGTTTTTATGATATCAGCTGTAGACTTGAAATATCAAAACTTATTATAAATTGCTTATAAGATACACCCAACATCAAATGTTGGTGAGAAGAAAGATAAGTCCAGCTCTTATAATGATCATAAAATTAGTCAGTTAACTCAAGATGAAAATTATTCTTGTTCTTATAAACATACTTATTTGATAACTATATAATTATATTTTTATAAAATATTTTATAATATACTTTACCGCCAATCCAATATTTTTGGCCATGCTGGAGTCTGTGATATTGGCGAATGGTTTATCCGCGCCCCAGCATTCAACGTACTTGGTCATTTTGCTTGATGGCCTAGAACGTACTGCAAGTCCAGATGGAGCTATTTTAGAATTTTCATAATTGTTGTTAGTGGTTAGTATGAATTAGTCGTGCGTCTAACATGCCCTAAATTTGGTAAGTAATTTATGAAAACTACATCCAGTACTTTTTAGGTGAAAATACATGCAAGACAAATCTCATTAGCTTCATTTCAGGAATAAATTTTTATTTGGCAGCTGTAGACAATTTTTAATAGAATTGTTTTTATAATTAAATTCTGATTTTTTGATAATCGTGTTATGGGTTAATTTACAAATATTGTTATTTTCACAGATATTTATTGTTTTTAAACTCGTGTCGCATGAAATCTGGTAAACCATTTCACGTGTCATATTTTAAATCAGTTACAGGATTTGATAGACTATAAATTGTGCGAAAATTGAAGCACAAATCTCATTATTTCGAATAACCCGTTATACAAAATACTCATGGTATCGGAAACCGCGCTATATGAAAATTAATTATATTCTGAATGAAATCAAATTAAGCCGAGCCGTATGAAACTATGTAAACAGAATTATTGGAAATTTCATTCTCAATATAGAATACTAATGGTTATAAATGAAGTTATATAAAAATAATTCATTTTGACTATAAAATAAATTACATTTTAATCATTTGAATGCTTCTATTTGAGAATGCATTAAAAATAATTTTTTAATGTGTTCAATTAATTTACTGAAATATTGAATAGCATATTAATATATTTGAAAATTTGTGATTGTAATTCACTTAAAGCTCGTCCATTGTTTGAATAGGTAATTTATATAGTGCAGTTAATGTATGATAAAATACTGATAGTAAGGTTCAACTTACATAGTCTTCCAGTATATGATAATCCACCTGCACTGCAATTGCCCAGACTAGCCCTTTTACTGTCCCCACAAACGCTGGATGCCACCAAACTGGTGGATCCGCCTGGTGGAGTTGCTTCACCAGTCGCACTTCCACCATCCACATTTAAAGGAACGACTGCTGAACCATTAGCATTGATATTTGGTGGCTTGGGTGCATCATCTTCTGCAGAAACGTTGGGAGACGGTAGATTGTCGTTGTTCACAACTATTTCGACTGGAGCTGGTTTCTGAAAATTGTAAAAATAAACTTTAGTTGGCTGATAAAATTTACAATGTATATATTGATATCTTTCAAACAGATGTCGGTAGACGACTTCACAAATGCTAGATTTGCCAACGATCATTTCAACATGGGTTCATTGTACTGTAATCTCCTCTATATATTGTTACACATATTATTATTCTCTCACAAAAAAGCTTGATGAGGTTTTTTTCACTCTGAAATGATCATCTCGACAGGTGCCAGTTTCCGATAAGACGCAGACAATGCAGAAAACTTGAAGCAGTTTATATCGTAATGAGGTGTAACCTAACAAAAAAAAATAGAATTCTGAAATAAACGTTTTAAGAGTTCCTAAAAGTGTAGGTCATTTATTAACAAAGAATTAACTGATAGGAAATACATGGTATATGTTTCCCTCATTACTAGAACACTTTATTTATGACCTCTGATATATATTGATCATGTCAGACGTTCTACAAATATTAATGCCATAGTAACTAAAAATATGATCCATAAAAATTGAAAAAACTTAATTTTGTAACAAATTCTACAAAAAATTTGAAGGCACTATTTTGTACGTTTTTCCAATGTGAATCTAATTACGTATGAATCCTTAGTATCATTGTTAGTCAATTTATCTCATGAGTTGTCATGATAAAAAATATATTGTATTGCACAAAAACTATTTTTTCAAGTGCATAAACGATTGAAAGCAAATAATGTCTTTACCGACATCAATCGTTCTTTTGAAACAAGACATTTTTTTGAAATCAAAATTGTTTTTGAAGTTCGCTTGTTGCTCTTCACATTTAAAAGTAGTATCAACAGGATAAACCAGTAATGATTACACGTCTTGAATGTGATTTTGGATGTAAAAAATACCATTAAATTTTTAATTGAAGCAAAAAAAATAACTTCGTGGACAACCTATAACAATATGAAGGTCATTCAACAAGTACTTAGCCTCACCGCAACATTTTGGCCTATTTTAGAGCACTTGAGAAAAAATATTTTTTGAACGGGTTGAAAAAGTTGTATTGCTAAGCCAAATGTATCTAGCTTGAAAGAAATTATGTTGAAAAATAAATTGTCACTTTTTCGTGGCAATGTTTTTACCAAATAATTTATTGAAGTAAACCTTCTTTAGGCGCGACTAGGGAGTAAATCCGTACAAATGCATCGGAAAAGCGTTACGGCAGAACTGTACGTCACTCGCTTTCGATGAAATCATTTCTATACGGGTCGATTGTGATTAGCCGTCGTGTATGTGAATAGAGATCTGTCGTTGTAAGCGTACCGGCATGGATAAATAAACATTTTAAAGTTACATCGTAGTACAAATATTGATTTAATGAAAAATGCCTAAATCAGAATAATATTTTACCCTGTTCTTCGAAAATAATAAAACAAATTAAGCATTTGTGCCGAATACTAAACTTAAGTTCATTGATTATAAATAATTTCTATATTATTCGTAGTTTCTATAAATCTTTGAAGTTATTAAAATGGAAAATATTTTTTAGGCAAGACAGATATTACAGCTGTTCAAAGATTGAGATTACATCGCCTACGAAAAAGTAAAAAAATGCAAGCAGTCAATGAATGTATGTTAATTTTAATTACACGAAGTTCTTCAAACACAATTACATGATGAGTGAAGTTGCGAAAACCTTATTTGTTTAGGCGTTGTTTAACATAATCCACTGCGTAAACGAATATTACCGAATTTATAAATCAGCAATTACTTTATTTCTCTAATGAAGGTTAATTTCTAAATGCTAATTACAATGACAAACCGATCATGACATATTTGAAGTATGACTTTAAATATTATTTCAAGTATGACTTCAAATATTTGAAATATGACTGAAATATTATACATATTTTTTTTGCTATTATAAATATATAATTTATAATTTATCATTATATAAATGTGTATAATGGTTGACACTAATAAATGTGTGCATCACGAGTGTTACCATATTACTAATAAACATAATTCAAAATTGTTATATGATGTATTTATTTTTACTTAAATGCCATCTTGTAGCAAATTAGTTTCACTTCAATCGCGTGTGAACCTTACACGCACTCTTTTTTTCATATTGCGGATATATTTCTAAAGACGACAATTTGCTTGTGGCGAATTGTGCACTACTAACCTACCTCAATGGAATATTTCGAGGTCTCCTTGTTATGATGCTGTGAAGATCATAACTACACTTACATTATAATTACTTCACTTATAACTTTCCTCCAATAACCACAAGAAGTTTAATGGTATATGGTATGCCAGAGCTTCGGAAACATTCTATAACTTTGACTTGAGTTGGTCAATTATGACAATACTGTATTAGTTGTTGTCGTACTGAACAACAATAAACTAATTAACAAGTTTTGATTTTCCTAGGGACATTTATATAGTTTGATGGGATTAGTTTCGAAAACCTGTACCTTTGGTTGTGTAAATGTCATTTTACAATCAAACTATGTAATGTAATTTAAAGTTTTTAATTTTATGTAGGTAACTTCAAAATATTCAATTTAATATAACAGAATATTGTCTTTTTGTTATATTAGATTCCGAATACGTCAAGTTCTATTTAAAAAAGTAGTTACTACTACCAAGTACGAACTTCAAAATTTACATTGAACTTGATTTATAAAAAAATAATAATGAAACATATTTTATTTAAAATTCACCGAGATCGATTTTCTGTAAAAACAAAGAAAACGTGGTGGAATAAAATTGTACTCAATTGAAACTCAATACAAACTGAAAGTGTAGTAATAGAGTAAAAGTCTCAATTGTTAGGAGGAAATTGGAAAACTATGTAGTTCGAAATTGAGATCTTTCGCTTTATTTGAAATTCACTGAAATTTACTCTATTTTCCATGTCGCTAATAATTTATAAAGTAAATTATAAATTATTTTGTTATTTAGTAATTGGCTTAGTAATTTATATACATATATTTTGTAGAATATATATATTAAATAAAATAAATTAGATATATTCAATTTAGAAGGAAGTTATTTGCTCTTCTGTACAAGTATCAAGCAAAATAAATAAGAGCTATATAAATTGCTTTACAAAAGTAATAATGAACAATTTACTATTACCTTTATTACAAATAAGAGGGTTTCTGTTTCACAAGGGAGTTTGTGCAGATTAATTTAGATCAAATAAAAAATACTAAGTTTTAAAATTTGTTTTGTACTTTCTGTATGCGGTTTGTATCAAGAACAATTTGTTCTCGGCATTGTGATAAAATATATACAATTCACATTGTGATAAAATATATACAATTCAAGAGAATTAGTGACATGATATAAATTGAAATCTGATAAATTATATACTTTAATCAATTTATTTTTCCTAATCATATATACGAGGTCTGTTCAAAAAGTACCCGGAATTTTCGTTTTTTCAAAAAAATATTTATTTATTCGTCTACATTAATGTGGTCCCCTTCAAAGTAGTCCCCCCCAGATATAATACACTTATGCCAGCGTTTTTTCCAATTTTCGAAGCACCCTTGATATTCACTTTTTGATATATGTCCTTGAGCACTCTCAGCGATTCGGCCTTTATTTCTTCAATCGAGGAAAACCGCCGTCCTTTCATGGGTCTCTTCAACTTTGGGAATAGGAAAAAGTCACACGGAGCCATATCTGGTGAATATGGAGGTTGGGGCATGACTACGGTATTGTTTTTGGCCAAAAAATTACGAACAAGCAACGACGAGTGAGCAGGTGCGTTATCGTGGTGCAACAGCGTTTTTTTCGGATTGCTTCACGCAAACGTCGCATCACTTCAAGGTAATACTCCTTATTAACCGTACGACCTTGTGGTAAGAACTCTTGATGCACTATGCCGTTATAATCAAAGAAAACAGTAAGCAAAACCTTGACATTCGATCGAACTTGACGTGCTTTTTTCGGTCTTGGCTCACCTGGGCTCTTCCATTGGGACGATTGGGCTTTGGTTTCGACATCATAACCGTACACCCATGTTTCATCACCAGTTATGACCCTTTCAAGCAAACTTGGATCGTTGTTGACGTCATTTAACAGCTCTTGAGCGATGTTCATGCGATTGCTTTTTTGGTCAAAATTTAGCAGTTTTGGAATGAATTCTGCTGCCACTCGTTTCATGCCCAAAACATTTGAAAAAATGTTATGACATGAGCCAATTGATATGCCAACTTCATCAGCAACTTCTCTAATTGTGATTCGGCGATCATTCATAACCATTTTTTCCACTTCTTTCACATTTTCATCGTTTGTTGACGTGCTGGGTCGACCGGAGCGTTCGTCATCTTCAACGTCTTCGCGGCCATCTTGGAAACGCTTATACCACTCGTAAACACTTGTTTTTTTCATAGCAGACTCACCATAGGCTTTTTGTAACATTTCACACACTTTGTTACACTTTATTTCATTTTTTACGCAAAATTTAATACAAATTCTTTGACTTTTCAATTCTTCCATTGTAAAAATCGCCGAGCTCAGAAAAACACGTCGAACCTTAGCGACTACCACAGACAAAGTAAACAGTGAATATAGCTGAAAATTTCATCATACTTTAGGGGCATGTATACCAACACAATAAAAAAAAAATTTTGACAATCAGACACTCCAGACCCGCGAAATTTAAAAATTCCGGGTACTTTTTGAACACACCTCGTATATATATATATATATATATATATATATATATATATACATATATATATGATTGAGAAAAATAAATTGATTAAAGTATATAATTTATCAGAATTCAATTTATATCATGTCACTAATTCTCTTCAGATGAAATCTGATATTCACCGATGGTCACATAAATCTAATTGCAAACATTCATATTGTAAATATAATACAAGTATAATTATAAGAGATGATCAAATTAATGCCATCGGACGATGCTCTAATTACAATTCTGTAGTAATTTAATATTCAATGACAAAGCGAATGCAGAATATATCAGAAATGTATTAATCATGAAATAATTAGAGGGAAATGAATATATCGGTTGATAATAAATTGATCAAGTGCAAAAAGTAATACTAATATAAATTTTATGATAAAACTACTTGCCAGTAATTTCAAACCATACCAGACAGGCGTTATAAATAATGGAAATAAGTAAACATGAAGCAACCTGCCTGATAGCTAAATCTTTTTTTTAAATTATTTATATAAAATGGTTTACATATAAATAATACATTCTACGGCAAACAATTGATAACAATTATAAAAAAATAATAATATCAGTACAATTTAATAATAAAATACAAGATCAATAAAAAGTGGTTCGATTTTTTTCTCTCTGGAACGATCTTTTCAAACTGATGCACTTGGCTCTTTTTGGAATCTATATATATATATATATATATATATATATATTATATATATTTGCCCTAATAAATTAAACTAATAAAACTTTCAAAAAAACATTGAGAATAATTCACATTGTTCAACACAAACCACTGAAAATAAATGTTGTATATTGTTCAATCCTACATTTTTATTAGTATCATGTATCGAATATTATTTTTCATTACTCTTAATTCTTTATAATTGTTACGTTTTTTATATATACATATAAATGGGTGTCCCAGAACTCAACGACAATCCATAGTATTGATGAAAGTATTGATTGATTGATAGTATTGATGAAAAATGATAGTTTGATAAATATTAAGAGCTTTTAAGTCAATCTTTTACTATTTCTTGATTATTGTGGTTAATTTTCATTATTTTTGTTCATTTAAAGAAACTATGGAACCACAATCCTGAATAGCATTTCTAGGACCACTGTCAAAAATAATGACGCACTTGTTCTAAGTGTTCAACTTTTAAGACATTTTGTTAAACTATTTTAAAATCTTCAAAATTGGTCGACTTTAAAGGCACTAGCGCATATTGTGCTATTTTTAGGTCAATTTTTCATTTTTTTACTCGATTTTTTTTACTATGAATCAAGTATTTTACCATTTTACAATCCTCATTAAAAGCGCCAACATTTGATGGAACTTGCCAACACACTTTAGTACATTTAAAACGTTATTCACGGTTATGGATCCAAAGTTTAAATAGAAGTAATGAGAATTGAACCAAGGCACTTAAAAGCTTATGATTTTCAAATGTTAGATATTTTTAACTTCCCTTAAGGTAGGTTATTGTAATCGTCCTAAAATCAAAATTAAAATTTTTTGCATATCTTCAGATGCGCTGATTAGTTTTTGGCAAAGGCAGGTCAATTCGTTTCGGAGATACGGAGCAAAGAGTGTAGAAAAAAGAAATCGTGTTTTTGAGAGAACGGACATCTGATTTGAATGATCCAAAAATATTCAATTTGTAATGAGAAGAAGAGGTGGTATTCAATTCGTAATGGTAGGAGAAGTGGCAAAGGCAGGTCAAACTGTTAATACGGCGCTAAATATGCAAAAAATTGCACTTTTTGAGAGAACAAAACATCTGAATGTCTTTTTACTAAATATTATATTACTTATTTGAAATATTTCTTTTACTAAATTTTATTCTTCGAATATTGCGGTAGGAAAAGTTCTAGCAATTAGCCTTAACACACGTTTACACGACTAGTTTACTAATTTTGTTGATGATAGTTACGATTCACTTTTCGGACACCCTTTATATAAAAACTTGTAATTCTGTTCATAAAAAATACCACAATTTGAAAATCTTAAAGAGATCATTCAGATAACAAATATAAAATTTAAAATCTGATAGCTCGATACTTTACCAATGGTCCAAAATAAATCAATCTCAAGTTCAATAATTTCCTCTCTTACCTTAGGCGGCACGATGAGATAAGTTTCAACTTTGTGATCGGCGAGATAGCCCTCCCTCGACCCGCCGTTGCCCGGCTCCAGTTCGAATTGTCCGCCTAGCTGCTCCATCGTCGCCTTGGTTATGTGCACCCTCCTGTGAATAGATGGAGCAAAAGGTTATTGTTATTATTATTGGACTTTCGGAATATTGTCTCGTATCTTTACGAGCGACGTGCTTATTTGATATTTGTATCTTGTATCGTTGCTATTTACATACAGGGATTATATAAAGCACAATAGATATAGAGTGAGCTATTTCTCAGCATTTTCGGACCCTCCCCTCTCCCTTGGTGATATTTGAAATTAACCCCCGCCTTCCTCACCAAATATCTCGTGTACTTTTAGTCCCTACAAAAAATCGTAAAATTTATGTTTTTTTTGAAAATTTGATTTTTTTCAAATTAGTAGTATCTCCTTATTCCCTTTAAGGCTCAGGTAATTGATGGACGCCCCTAATTACTATAAGTGTGTATATTTGCATATAGGTATGTATAATGTGTATTTGTACTGTATCATAAAACTAAATGAATGTTATCAAATATTTTAAATGAATGTTAGTTTTGCATTAAATTCCTGAAGTAAAGTGACCACATTTTTTATGTCAAAACCAGGACGATAATATATAGTTATGCTAATCTGTGATGGGAAGAAGGGATGCTAAATGACTTTAATATGATTTAAAATAACAGATACTATTTATGGATACACTAAAAAACAGTGTTTTTTTTAAATTGATCAATTTTTTAAATCATAATTACTGGCTTTTTGTAGAAACTTTGTTATTCGATTATATGTTAGTTTTCTTTATCTAAGATGTTATATTATATCTTATATTTTTTTGATGTATGTATTTTTGCATTTAAGCCTTGTATATATAATATATATATATATATATATATATATATATACAGGGTGGCTGATATGTATTGAAACCAATTTCAGACCGCTATCATTTCTAAACCGCTCATCAGACAGTTGACAGATTTATTCCAGTGATTGTATATTTAATTGATTACAAGCGTACAAAAGCATTTTGATCTATTGCATTCAGAAAAAAAGTTATTCGTGATGGAAGTCAAGCGTGGTAGTGCGATTGCTTCATACTTGGCTGAAAAACCTTAGGTGGCTATATTTCGAGCCCTCCAGTATTTAAATGCGAACAAATATTTTGTTTCTCGTACCATATCTCGTAACCGTGATACACTCAGTGTTGCACCGCGTCCAAAAAGTGGACGAAAAAAAACACTAACAACCCCAGAAATGATCCAAAAAGTATAGGCAAAAATCAATCGAAATTCGTGTCGCAGTGGTAAAAAAATGGCCAGTGAGCTGAACATATCGCAAAAACGGATGCAACACATATTGAAAAATGAGCTTGAACTAAAACTATTGAAGATCCAAAAAGTGCAAGAGCTCATTGATGCACAAAAAAAAGTTAGACGGAAAGAAGCGAAGGGGTTGCTTCGCTTGCACGAAAGTGGCTAGTTACCGAATTTGGTTTTCTCAGATGGGAAGTCCTTCCAAATCGAGCAGTTTGTGAACAAACAAAATGATAGGGTTTACTTGCCAAAAAGGTCAGCTAAAAATTTACACCTTTGATTGGCCACCAGAACTCGAGCGCCGCCGACGGTAATGGTGTGAACCACCGTAACGGCCGATGGTGACATTCCACTCTTATTCATCGACCGTGGGATCAAAATAATTGCCGAAATTATCGGGAAAATGTCTTAAAGGCAATATTGAAGTCCTGGGTAGACAAAAATTTTGATCGCAGACCATGGTCATTCCAACAGGACTCAGCACCATCAAACTCAGCACGCGCCTACCAAAAATGGCATATAAAAGAGGTTTTTCGCTTCATTTCCATCGCATAATGGCCACCAAAATCTCTGGATCTAAATTTGCTGGACTTTTGTGTCTTGGACATTTTGAAGAGTAAGGTTCGCACTAAAAAATACCAAAGTGTCGATCATCCCAAAAAGGCGCCTCGCCGGGAATGGGCCAAAATAGCCCAGAGCCACTTTCGTGCAGCGTGTTATGGTTTTTCTGCCGTTTGAAGGCCATAATTCGTGCCAAAAGTGGCCAATTCGAACAAATATGAACTAATTCTAAAATTTGATGTTATTTCTGACATTTTTGCTTTTGAACAATGAAATTTAAAATGAAAATGACAAAGTTATAGCGCTTTACTTTGTTGCAATACATATCAGCCACCCTGTATATGTATATAAAATTCTATTAATTTTTTTTCATATCACATTTTAGTTAGCTATAGTAGATACTCCACTGGGTGTATCTACTAATTTAAAATCAACTTCATTTTAGTATATATTTGTCAGCATACTCTGCTTAATGTAACAATATATACAGATTGCGAAATAACATTGAATAATTTATTTTTCATAATTAACTTATAGTTGCTAAAATTAACACTTTCGCCTGTCAGTCAAAAATTTCGTTTTCATTATTTTTGCAAATTTTTATAAAATTATAAATTAAATTTCAAAATTATTAATGTGAGAGGCTATTTTAACCTGTCATTCTAAATTTGACTTTAACTATTTTTTCATTCATAATATATTGTTTCATATTAAACAACTACTTTATAAGTAAACAACTTTTCGTAGGATAATATATTAGGATGTTCAATAAGACCATAAACTTTAGATCTATCAAAATCGTCAAGATAAATTCTCACAATTAATTTCGAAGAATTGGCCCTAATTTAGTCTAAATTATAAATTCTTAACTGACATTAGCACACTTCTGCTAATTCTAAACAAACTGTTTGTCCGACCGTCTCGCAAAATTAAATAACAGGAGTCTCTATTATATCTCGTTTCATCAAACAGCTTTGTAATTTTTGAAATCGGTGCAGCAGTTTTTCAGAAAACGTCAAAGCAAGGTTAAATTTTGGGTCATATGCACATGCGAACATATTATTTACAAGATTGATGTCAAACAATTTAGAATGGTGAATGCTTTTATACATACTATGATGGGTAAAAGGATGTTACGACTGTATGATTGTGGCAATAAAAGTATGTCATAAACGAGTATGAATAGGTATATCTATAAACTAGAACATCCATCAAATATTAATATATTCATAAGACATTTCAAATAATTTTCGTACACGTCCAATATTTGAGTTGGGTCGATATTTCTCTTACAAATATATATAATTTCTAAACTTTTTTACACTGACCCAGCTACGCCGCCGCTTTCCATGTAGTTGGCTAAAGTGACATCGTCGGACCAAACATCGAATTGCCATTTGCGCAACCCGAGAACTCCACAAAGAACATTACCAGTATGGACACCGATTCGCATATCTACGTCGAAGCCGGTTGCCTCTCGAACGAATCTGGAAATTGAGAAGAATTTATCAATAATCTTATTCAGGGAATATATTCTATCAGAAGAATTTAGCAATAAATTTATTCAGGGTAAATATTTTATTAGCACATTTTTTTTAGAAATTTATTCAAGGATTTTTTATTACAATTCGTTATTGATAATGTAGATTTATTTTAAGAAACTTCAAATGCATATAATTTATATTGCAAGAATGGTGCATCCGATTAGAATGACTAAAATAACATTTGATTCGTATTGACGGAGAGACTTGCTGATTATTGTTTTTAGCAAATGGGACTTCCATTATCACGAGGAGAGGTTTGACAAAAAAAATCACTAAACATTACGCGGGGGAGGAAAGTGTATACTAAGATATCACGTGTATTTTACAATTAACGTAAACAAAATTTTACAATTATTTCTTGTAACTAAAATACACGTGATGTTTGGTGGGGGAGGATGGTTATTTTTGAATATTACCACGTATCACCAAAGGGGAGTGTGGAGGGTTTCAAAAATCATTAAAAAATCAATCACGTGATTAATGAACGCCCCCAAAAACAGATTCAGTCGTTTTGAAGAAATAGAGGAAAGAACGCAGAAAATAGAAATCAACGTTCTGAGAGCGCGGAGCATCCGATTTGAATGATTCAAAAAACATTCAATTTGTAATGATCCAGCCGTTTTGAAGATAATGAGCTAATTTTGAAAACAATTGTAGATTTTGGGAGAACAAAGCATCCAATTTGAAAGATTCAAAAAATCTTTTGCTTGTATTGATAAAACTATTGTTTTTGGTAAAAGTCAGGTCAATCCGTTTTGGAGACGAGGAGCTAATTTTGCACAAAAATGTAGTTTTTGAAATAACAAAGTATCTGATTTGAATGATTCAAAAAACCTTGTGCTTATATTTATATTTGTTTTTGGGAACAGCAAAAATTTTTTTTTCGAATATCGAGAATAATTTAGATTTTAGTTTTAATTCTAGTTAGAATTCTAAAGCTCACTTAAATACTTGGAATAAATAATTTTAACTTTGCAATTTAAATATGAGAGAAGATCGTTCATTCTAACGCCCCTTCATTAATATCTATTTATTTATTTTTATATAAACTTATATAATAAACGTCATCGTCCCATATTTGAAAACATTTAATAATCTTCGAATATTTCATTACGGTACAGAAAGTTCCAGCAATTTGCCTTAGGGCACGATGCCATACAACACTAGTTTTCGGAATTAAATACAGTTGAAAGAAAGTTTGCATGATTAATTGAACTTCTGTTATTTGTGAAATGAAAAAAAAATATTAATGTATTTTTTTAAATTTTTAAACTATTTATATTTATTTTTATTTGAATTTTAGAATTTCTTATATATTGCCAACAAATTCCCGTACTTATTTCATACTTTCCATACTTATTTAAAGTATACGTCAAATACTTAACTTTATTTAAACTTAATCAGATCAACTTTTTTATATCTGTTCAATTCAAAATTCGTCTTACAAATCCTTGATAATTCAATTACATAATAATTCATTTTATTATACCTGAATATATTTAATTCCGGCTAGACTTATATAGTTCATCATAAAAATCCTTCAAAAATTTAATGATCACTTCTTGTCAGAAATAGCAATCTTGAATAAATTTAAAACGACATAAAAAGTAATATTACATTTTATAATTCTGCACAGGACGATCAAGTTGAAATGTGTCAGCATTTCAGAAGAGAGAGAGCAAATTAAAAGTATCTCGATTTATAAATAAAGATTCATGCAAATGACATTGATATTAAAGCAAGTCAATCGGGATACAAGGATATAAAGTCATGGAGTCGGTCATGTAAAATGATTTTTATATTTAAAATATTAGTAACAATTAAAAATACTAATTAAAAATACTAGTAACAATTTAAATATTTAAAAGTAAATATCTTTGTTACATTATAAATTGATGATGGGTTAATACGTTCGCGGATGTGAATGCTATAGCATTTATTTCCATTGTGATGCAGAATGGCGTGGATTTTATGGCATTCAAATTTTAAAGTCAATAATTTTGAATTTAATTTTATATGACTTAATTTTTTTGTAATTATTATACCTGCCAAGGTAATGACTAACTGATTCTTCAGATATTTTCATACATCCATTTTTTCTGAGGTATGCCAAAATGTTCAGGAACCTTCAAATCGTGAAGAATTTTTTTTTGTTACAATTTATTTTTGTTAATCAAGAAAAACGTGAAGAAATGCAAAATTTTTCAATTTCGATTTCTAGACGATTACAATAACTTATCCTACGTGCAGTTAATAAATGCTAGGATCTACAGAATTTAAAATTATATTAAATTTTTATGTATAAATGGTAGGACATACAGAAATTAAAATTATATTAATTTTTTTTGTATGAATGGTATGAAATACAGAATTTCATATTATATTAAAAAAAAATAAACTAAAATTAAATTAAATATTTTCGGGTTTCATAAAATATGCATTGTGCACGTGAGGCTCTCTAACCAAAAATAATGATGTTAAAATAAAGGAGGGCCTTTGATATTCGTCAACGCTCTCTTATGTAAATTAATCCGTTTATTATGCCGAACAGATTGTAAGAGTATAAACTTGAAATGCCTATAGAAACACGAGGAAACGACTTCTTGTTTACTCAAACAGATTGATACAATTAGTTTTGCCTATTTGTAAGTAAATAATGGTGTAAATTCTATAAAAGCATTAATATATTGAATTATTTGCTATTTGTTTCAAGTGGAAACAGAACCACTCAGAACTCTTATCCTATAAGCTGTTAATTTGAAGACTTAACTTTTCAGTGGCGATTATATTAGAATTTTATATTTTACACAATTTTTTTATTATGAAACTATCGAAAATTTTACATTTTACCATTCAAATTAAATGTGCCAACTTTTAATGAAACTTACCAACACATCTTAGTACATTTTTTTTAAAGGAGGACTTCTCAAAGTAGACCAACTTTGACAACATTAAATCCATAGTTTAATAAAAAGTCTTGAAACTGTGGAGCAATTGTATCATTATTTTTTACTGTGCTCCCAGAAATGTTATTTACGGTTACGAATCTAAAGTTTAAATAGATTAAATTAATAAAAATTAACGCCAAAAAACCAAAAAGTGGTCATAGTTATACCAAGGCTTTAGGTAGCACTTAAAAGCACACAATTAACTAACTACATGAAATATTTTTTTTTACATTTTTGTTTGTGATAGTTGCGATTAACACTACCACCCCGTTCCAACTTGACATTGAGTTCTGGGACACCCTGTGTATATATTACTAATACTTATGTCTGTAAGTGTCCACCGAATGTATATTCTCACTTGAAAACTATGATCGCAATTAAAAATCTGGTATCATACCGCTTGACACCGAGCTGGCTGAGATTAGGATAAAACCTCGATCTAGTAATTCATAGCCACCTTTTTTACCCCTACTTTACGACGTGCCTAATATATAGATAAATAAAATATTTTTCAATAAATAAAGTACTTTTCGATTTTTATTTTAGTGCTATAGATTTTTCTACGCATCTTTATAATTATAATAGCATCATATCAAGCAACATGAATAAGTTTTATATTTCATAAGCAATACTATTACTACACACCCTATTTAATTACACACAATCATGATATGATTGATTTTGTTTGAACAAACGAAGATTTCTTTGCCATCAGAAGAATCTCGAAATCTACAAGCCATAAATAAAGTATATCAATGTCAATATCATAACATTTTTTCTTCAAGTTATTGCATTACATAATACTAATGTTAGATTTAATATCGTTTTATTGTTGTCTTTTACTGTTATTAATTCAGTTAAAATAATTTATTTTTTGTAATTACTAAATTTAATCCTGTATCCGAAATATATAATAAATAAATTTAGAAATCAATTGCCAAATAACAAAGAAATCAATTACCACGTTTAGTATTCATTTATCTTTGTTATATGCTGAGATTATTAATTAAATTAAATTGAATGTAACGTTAAATTGCATTTACATAATAATTACAGTGTTCACGAACATCGAAAATTATCATCATTGTGGAAATAGTCATTTAAGGTCCGTAAAGGAGTTCGGTAACTGTTCAATTTCCGTCATTCTTTCTCAGGGACTCAGTCGCATTTATCGCATGAACGAGGCGCTTTAATTAAAATCTCGACTTAGGACAAATGGATCATTCTAGCTGAAGGCAAAGTAAAGGAATTAAATTAGTTTACTTGGCGGGAAATTATTTTTCATATATACTGCCAGTGCACGAAAGTTATAGAACAAAGATAACAGATTGATAATTCCAATATACGAAAATTTCTCCCATATTTTCATGAAAAAAAAGTTATATTTTGAAATTACCACAATATATTAGTAAAGAGCTAATTTGAAAATTTCTTGATTCCTGAACAGAATCTCGAAAACCAAACGTGGGTACAGACGTTGTCCTGTACTCACGTCTATAATTCAAAAGTTCCAATTCCAAAAAATAATGTTCAACCAATTTTGGACTTATTGCGTTATTTATTAAACTGAATTATATAACTTCATCTGCCAAACACATACTGTTGACTGTATCTTATATTATTTTAACTTCTGGCACTTTCAGTCGTTTTTTGGTAATAATAATGTAGACATTACATTTTTTTGTATATAAATATAATATTATCTAGGCTCATAATTCCAGCTAAATTCAAATGTTTTTAATGTCAAACAATGATAAGTGATTTTTTGTAATATTTGCCATATATTTCTACAATATTACTATAGTTTTATAGTTCAATGAATTTAAAAAAAATTCTTTGACAAGCTCTGAAAAGAATTATTAAAATCCGAATAACCACCCGTACAGAATAATTCCATATATAGGATATATAATATTGATTATTGTTAATTTTCCAGAATATTCCTTTTTTTTTTAATAAGTACGACAAACAGATATAACTTACATTCGATCTTTC